CCCGTGAAAAGATGTTCAACACCATTAGATCAGAGAAATGCCGATCAAAACCACACTGACGTGACATTCCACCTTGTGCCCGCGAGAGCGGCTGGAATCCACACAAAAAAAACCAGAGCTGGTGAGGCCGTGGAGGGCCCAGCACCGCTCTGCACGCTACTGGGGGAGTGTGAAGTTGCAGCCGCTGTGGAAAAAACTGTGGCTGTTCTCCACGTGGGTGAACGTCCAGTTGGGAGGCCGAGACAGGTGGATCACCTGAGGTCAGGAGTTTAGACTAGCCTGACCAACATGGTGAAGCCCCATTTCTACTAAAAATGCAAAAGTTAGCTGGGCGTGGTGGCGGGTGCCCGTAATCCCAGCTACTTGGGAGGCTGAGGCAGGAGAATCACTGGAACCCAGGGGCAGAGGTTGCAGTGAACTGAGATCACGCCACTGCACTCAAGCCCAGGAGACTTGTGTGTGTGTGTGTTTGTGTGTATTTTTAGACAAAGTCTCACTTATATTATATATATATAATAAAAGAATGAAGTTAGACACCTCAACCTCACACCATACATAAAAACTAACTCAAGATGGATCAGAGACCTAAATGTAAGAATTATAACTATATCAAGCCAAGTGCAGTGGCTCATGCCTATAATCTCAGCACTTTAGAAGGCTGAGGTGGATGCATCACCTGAGGTCAGGAGTTCAGGACCGGTCTGGGCAACATGGCAAAACCCTGTGTCTACTAAAAATACAAAAATTAGCCAGGCGTGGTGGCCGGCACCTGTAATACCAGCTACTCAGGAGGTTGAGGCAGGAGAATCACTTGAACCCGGGAGGCAGAGGTTGTGGTGAGCCAAGATCATGCCCCTGCACTCCAGCCTGGGTGACAGAGTGAGACTCCAATTCAAAAAAACAAAAAACACCAACAAAGTACTGGTTTATACAACTGCACAGGTGAACCAGAAAGCCTGTGAGGTGAAAGTCACAGCAGGCCCCGTGGCATTGATTCCACCCAATGGCAGTGCAGGACAGAGGACTCTGCAGACAGTGCACGGTTGCCTAGGGTGGGAGAGATGGGGACTTGGAGGGTGACGGCTGGGCTGAAGCGTACAGGGTTTCTTTGGAAGAGATGAAAATGTTCTGAAATTGGCTGTGGAGATGGTGGCAGGTTTGTCAAGATACGCAGGACCCCGGAAGTGTACTCTTAAAATGAGTGAGGATGGCAGGCCAGTCATATCTCAGTAGAACTGTTGCCACAAAAGAGAAACCCAAACCCAAACCCAAACCCACTCTTGAACCGCGGGGCCGCTGTGGGAAGGGACAGCTCGTTGCACTCCCTGCACCCCTCTATCCCGGGGCTGCCCCCACTACGCCTGCCTGGCTGCTCACCTCCCTCGCAAGATCACTGGGTGCTCTCCCCTGGGTCTGCACCAGGGCTCACCCTGGGGTCCTCCACAGGCAGCATGGGGCCGGGACTGCAGATTCCCGGGGAATGAGCCAGGTAGTCCCTGGTGATCCCGGGGAAGGCTGTCCTACGCCCCTGCAGCCAGGTCCAGCCGCTACCAGGGAGGGCTGGGGCAGGGGTAGAGGGGTGATGGGGGAGCAGCGGTCCCAGCTCCTCCTGCCTCTGATGACGCCCTTGCCCATGCGCCACCACGTGCTTCCCGCGGCACTCCCTAGGGAAGGGCTGGGCTGACTGGGTCCCAGGGGCATCCCTCCTTCCAGAAGCGTCTTTACTTGAGGTTGTGGGGGGCCAAGCCCCACTTCCGAGTGGGGAGCCGAGGCCAGGCGGGGACAACTGGGGTCCCATGATCCACCAGTGCAGGTGCCCCGTCAGGCCTGCCGGCAGGTCCAGAAACTACAATGCTGAAATAACAAGAATGCTTCCCCCGACTCCGCAGAGCACCTGGGGTTTTGGGAGGTGGGTGTGTGAGAAAGACACAGCTCAGGGTCACTGGAGAGAGGAAACTCTGCTCTCAGCCCCGTGGCAATGTCCCTAGCAGCTCCGCTCAGTCAGCGAAACCAGCCAGATGTGCATGGCAGAACAGCAGGGTCAGCGGCACCAGGAGCATTACCCAGCCGGAAAAAGGGACAAGCACTTGGCACATGACAACTTCACAGGGACAAAGACTTTGTGTGGAGGGAATGGTGCCAGAAAGGTGAACCATGGTCTGCTTCTGATGTGACATTTCTGATGGGAAAACACTATGGAGGGCAGATCTGCAGTCACCAGGGGCTGGCAGGGGCAGGGGGAAAGGGGCAACCCTGAAGGGCTGGCGGAGGGGATTTCAGGGGTAATGGAAGGTTGCAGCAGTGGTTATACGAATCCCCGAGTAATGAAATTACAGTACATCAAATCTTTACCTTGTTTTCCAGTGTGATCTTTAAAAATTAAAAAATAAGAAGCTATCAGTAAGATCCTGTCTCCACAAGTAATAAAAATTAGCTGGATGTGGTGGCACACGCCTGTAGTCCCACCTATTCGGGAGTCTGAGGTGGGAGGATCACTTGAGCCCTGGAGTTTCAGGCTGCAGTGAGCCATAATCACACCATGGCACTCCAGCCTGGGCAACAGTGAGTTCCTGCCTCAAAAAAAAGCCTCCAAAACCCCAAACCATCAGTGTTGCTCTGAGCATCTGCTGCTGGCCACCTGGAATGGCTGCTGGATGCTGCCCAGCAAGCACCAGAGGCCCACTGTTCTCTCCAGGAGGATATAAAATGGGTCATGGCTGCACTTAGGGTTTTTTTAATTGCCATGGTCATCTTATTAAAGGTGGTAATTGTTCCTTCCAGTTTCTGCTATGGTTTGAATGCTTGTCCCTCCAAAACCTCTTGAAATTTGCTTTTGTGACAGTATTGAGAGTAGGACCTTTAGACGGTGGTCAGGCCTTGAGGGTTGCACCCTAACAACTGGGATGGGTGCTGTTGTAAATGGGTGCGTTGGCCCCCTCCTGCTTTCCCCCACGTGATGGCACAGTTAGGTGGCCCTCGCCAGATGCTGGCACCTTTCCAGTACTGTGAGCCAGCTAGTCCTTCATTATAAATTGTCAGTCTCAAGCATTCTGTGATAGCAACACAAAACAAAGAGTTTCTAAAGTTGAGTCCCTGGGAGACCATGAAGAGCCAACAGGGGCAAACACTTTATAGGCACGGGACAGAAGCGGACTCAGAGCTGGAAGAGCCCCCAAGGGCACGCCCCCAAGATTTCATGTTTGAAGAAAGCAGGGTTCAAAGGGTTCCACGGCCAAGCCAGCCACAAGCTGGGATCTGGGTCTGGAGCAAATCTTCCTTCCCCGAGGACTCGCTCTGTGCAGGAGCTGGCCAAGGTCAGGAGCCCCATCCCGTCCAAGACGGTCCTCCATTCCGCCCCACACATTTCTGCTGCCACACTGCCAGCACCGAGGCCAAGTGTGCCTTCCAGCAACAGTGTCTGCAGCCTTTGAAGACAAAGGCACCACTTCCCCATCACACCCCATGCATCTTGGAGCAGTGCCCAGCACGGCTGCCAGGAAGTCCTCTGTAGCCGTTGGGCTCCAACACCCTCGAAATTGCTGCTTACGCCTCTTCCAGCCCCTCCCCAACTCTCTGAGCCACTGTGTGTGAGTCCCTGCCCTCTACAGCCTCTCCTCCTGCTCCACGTCCTCCCTCTGCACTGCCCCGCCCCCAGGCATCTCTGGCAGGACACCAGCTTCATCCCAAGGTTCCACTCCTAATTTGTTTCACTTGTGATTGTCATGGTCCTAGGTCCCCAACCTAGATTAGGAGATCAGGCTGGTCAGGCTCCAGCCAGCACTGGGCTCTGCGCCTTGCTGAAAGGACAGGTAGCCACCAGCCTGCCAGGACCGGGAACTGGCTCCAGGTTGCTCTGGGTTGTCAGGGCAGACTCCTGCGAGGTCCAGGAACAAGGCTGATCAGTTCTCAGGCCCTCACTCCTTGCACAGGAGGGAATGTGGGCCCCACACCGCTGCCGGCCCTGCAGCAGCACAGATGGTCACTGGTGTTCCCTGGATGGACTCCTGGGCTCTGACAAGGAACCTGGCACAAGGGGGAGGCCACTGTGGACAGCTGCTCCGGTCATGGCTGATAGCAGAATCCCACCACAAAATGCTGCTGGAACACGCAGTCTCCGGCAGAGGCCCCTGGGTTCTCAGGGAGGGAGAGGGAAGGATGGGCCCACCCCCCCAGGCAGGGTGTGGAAAGGCTGCGACTGAAGCCTGGGACTCAGTGTAGCCAGGGCCCGTCCAGCAGGCTCCTCGTACCCTCCACGCAGCTGGGGCTCCATGGGCCTGGGGTGCACCGCTGCAGGGAGCAGGTCATAGGGCTGCAGCCTTATCAGTGAGACGCCCTCCAGGCTGCCTGGCAGTCCTGGGGACATACAGAGGGAGCCTCAGCCAGCTAGTTTTCTGCAAAAATACCTACAAGGGTGGTTGGAAGACTCCATGGCCCCTGGCTGCCCTGCACACCGCAGGAGGGGAAAGACGACTTTCCCGCAAGCCGGGACCTTCAGCTTCTTCAGTCCCAAGACCCAGCAGTGCAGGGCCAGCACCCGCACCAGACTGGGGTGTGGAGCTGCCTCTCAGGGAACCTGCCCAGGGTGTTCCCTGAACATCAAGATTCACACCCGGGCACCAGGACCCCAAACCCACTGCCCTCTGGGGGCACCACACCATCCACATCCCTTGCATGACTGCCACCCGCAGACCCAGGACCACACAAAGCTACTCCAGGGAGACAGGAAGCCAGCGTCCCTTGAGGGAGACGCACCCAGAGTAGCACCCTGGCTATCACAGAGGGCAGCTGCCCAGATGCGGCCATCAGGGCCGAGCCTCCATCTCACGTGTGCAGAGCCCAGACCTAGCCAGGCGGCCACCCTCCCGTGAGCATCCCCACGTTGGTCAAGGGGCTGGGCTTCGGGCAGGGTCACCATGGGAGAGGGGCCACACACAACCCAACCAGGCTCCCACATGGCGCCACGCCCAGGTACCCACTGCGCCCAAGTCCACGAGGCAGCAGGCGTGCAGGGCCACTTTAATACAGGCCGGCCCGTTTGGGGGTCGAGGTGGCGGCTCCCTTTGTCCTCGTGGCTTTCCATGGGTAGGGGTGGCCCCAGTGAGATCGCCTCATAACCAAACCAGCCCCGGGGACGAGAAGTCATGCCATGCCCCACAGCCTCCTGTCCTGGCTGCTGGTGGCTGAGGGGCCCGCACAGCAGGAGAGTCCCAGGTCTTGCAGTTCCACGAGCCCCCAACACAGGGACCCCCACGGACAAACTTCGGATGCTGCACTTGCTCAGGTGGCATCTCCCAACCGTTGGAGGCATCTCAGCAGGGCTGAGCCCTGTGGGCAGAGCCATGAGTAGCAGGGGTGAAGTCAGACCCATGAGTGGAGGGGTGAAGTCAGGGCTCCAGTTGTCAATTCAGCAAGAATGCCCCTGGCCCACCGCCTTCAAACAGGAAGGTAGGCATCTGGGGCTCGGGCGGAGGCACGGAGAGGTTCTGCACATGCTGGTCTCCCGGGGATCCCCCTGCCGGAAGGGAAGCTGAGGTGCACCGGGAAGCCAGGCCAAGGGAGGGAGCCCATCACAGAAGCCTGCACCAGCTAACGAGAGCAGCGAGGGGCAAGAGGGCACGCGGGGACCCCAAGGTCTGGAGGCATCTTCCCCACAGCAGAGCACGAGCCACACGGGGCTGAGGCTGCAGGAGAACAGCACCAGGGGTGTCAGGCCCAGGCCGAGGCCACCAGAAGAGTCACAGCCGGTAGAAGCTGGGCTTGGCGGAGGGTGCCATCCAGAGATGAGGGCAGGCCAGCGGTGCCTGAGTGTGTTCAGGCCCGAGTGCCAGGAGACGCTCTGGGGTCCTCCTGTGCGTGCCTGCGTGGCAGCGGCTCTGCTCAGCACCGTGGTGCTGGGCTCCAGGGTACCTGGTCAGGGGCTGGCCACGACCCAAACTCTCTGAGGGCCACAGTCCCCGGGGCATCCCTGTGAGTCCTGCCAGAGGAGGCCATGTTACGAAGCTGCCACCAGGTCTGTCTGCCTTGGCCTGGACTTGACAGGGACTTTCTCTGTGGAGGAAACAGAAATATTGATGACACGCTCAAGACCCCACAGGCAGGGACCTGGCCACGGGGTGGGCGAGGGCCAGCATGGGGCTTTATACTAGGGAAGGGTTGCCCAGCTGTGGGGGAGGCAAGTGATAAACAGGAAGCCGACAGGGCCAGGATGCAGGACAGTGGGCCTGCAGCCCCTCCCAGCGGGATCCAAAGATGGGTGAAGGAACAAAACAAACGTGGATGGATGATTCTAAGTCAGGTTCCCAGCGGGCAGGCTGGAAGCTGTGCTGAATAGTGCCACGGGGACAGCCATCCCTGACTGTGACATTTCAGACAAATGCTGGGCTAGACCCTGGGAATGAGCTCGTGCTGCTAAAGACAGCTGTCCCCAGTTCCAATTTCTGGATGTGCCTCTTCAAAGGGGGCTCGGCTCTCTTACGAGGTTAGCCAGTTACCCAACCCCTGGGAGACCCAAGGCCAACCCCGAGGCCAGGCACACATGCTCCGAGCCACACAGCCAGGTGCCCAGGGCTTGCCCGTGGCCAGGAAGGCCGGACGACCTCTCCAAGTGGGAAGGGCTGGGAGTCTCCTCGACTGAATTCCAACCACTTTAAAGGATCAGGCATGGAAATACCTGGGATCTTCTCAGGAAGGGGCTCGGAGGGAACCTCGGGCAGCTCTATTTGTTCCTGCAAGAAGCAAAGGGCAAGGCTGTGAGCAGGTGACAGGTCTCCCTGGGCTGCCTGGGCCTCCCCCACAGAGGACATGGATTCCTGCCAGTCAGACACTATTGGCTGGAGTTAAAGTGACAGGAACCCACTGCTCAGGAGATCGGAGTATGCTCCCACCCCGGCTCCCAGCGCCACCAGAATTCCCCAGGTGTGATGCAGCCACAGCCACGGGGGTGCCTCCCAACAGGCCCTGAGCCTGGAGAGCTAGAAAGAGGCCACGTCCTGAGCGTGCCCCAGAGACCCTGGCTCTCAGGGACTGGGGGTGACACAGACACCCAGGTCACACAGTGTCCACAACTGTAGGGCAGGCCGTGGTACCACGATGTCCCAGCGAGCCCAGCTGCCTGAGCCACCATGGGAGCTTCGGCCTCTCAGCTGGCCTGCCCTGGAGGCCCCTGAGGACTCGGGCCCTCAGGAGAAAGTAACTGAGCAGCAGGTGGGCTCAGGGTACCACAGGCAGCACAGCACCAGAGCAGCAGGGCTGGGGCAGAGGCCGGCTCTGGGGGCACAGGACAAATTTGGTAAACTGAGGCAGTGGCCCAGAGAGGGACAACCCCTTCCCAGGGAGTGAATGCAGACCCAGAGCCTGGATGTGAGCATAGAGCCAGGACGTGGCCCCTGTGGCGACAGCCTGTGTGGGATGTGAGTCCGCAGCCACCCACGCTCAAGCACCACATCCATGAGAGCCTGGGACAGAAAGGGGCCGAGGCACTGGAAGGTCCAGCATCCCTGCTCCGTCCAGGGCATGGGCCAGCCTGCCTGCACCCAGACCGTTGGGTGAGCAACCTGAAAACTGCGGCACCTCAGGCAGGAAAACCAGTCGCAAACCCCAGACCGTTTGCTTAAGGGACACACATGGTATCAACACGGGTGGGAGATTCCTGGGGGTCTGAGCTCTGGGGTCCCATCGCCTGAGTGACTGCTCTCAGTCCTGGGGTTCCCGTCCCATCCCCCGAGTGACCGCACTAAGTCCTAGGGGCCGTCACCTGAGTGATTGCGCTCAGTTCTTCCAGGATGGCATCTTCATCCTCCTGAGTGAAGCTTCCTGCCAGGAGCTCATCTATTTGCTGCAAAAGGATGGGTGGTGGTGAGAACAGCGAGGAGGCAGCCCCTCGTGGAGGAAGGAGGCGGCCTGTGGCTGGGTCTTGTCCCCTTGAGAGAAGGTGGCTGCTGCAGGGTGTGAGACAGTTTGGCCCTCGAGGGTGGCCCTGTGCATTCCCGCAGTTGGGACAGGCCGGTCAGGGTGCTACCTACCCGCTGGTACTCCACGGCCTCCTGTGTCTCATCCAGGATCCTCTCTACCTCTTCAATGGACATCACCTGCGGACAGGGGTGTTGACACTGTCAGGGGGGCCAGTGGTGGACCCCAACGGAGACCACCTGGGCCCTCGGGCCATGGCCTCATCCCTGTTTTTATTCCTTTGATTTTTGTTTTATTATTTTTTGGGATGGAGTCTTGCTCTGTCACTGAGGTAGGAGTGCGGTGGTGAAATCTCGGCTTACTACAACCTCTGCCTCCTGGGTTCAACCGATTCCCCTGCCTCAGTCTCCCAAGTAGCTGGGACTACAGGGACTACAGGCACGGGCCACCATGCCCAGCTAATCTTTTGTATTTTTAGTAGAGACGGGGTTTCACTGTGTTGGCCAGGCTGGTCTTGAACTCCTGACCTCATGATCTACCCACCTCAGCCTCCCAAAGTGCTGGGATTTACAGGCATGAGCCACTGTGCCCAGCTCTATTTCTTTTATTTTTTAGAAAGGAGGTCTTGCTGTGTTGCCCAGGCTGGGCTCAAGCGACCCGTCCCAGCAGCTGGGACTCTAGGCACGTGCCAGCACGCCCAGCTCCTGTCCCTGTTCCAATGAGGCCAGGCCATGTGTGTCCCAGGCATGGCCGCGTCCTGAGGCCACAGGAGCTGTCTGATGAGTCTTTTCAGAGGCCGAACTGCATTGCTCTGACGCCCGCTGGCCCTTCTCACACCTGAGTCAGCTCTCACGGCCACAAGCAAATAAGCCAAAGGGGCCTGGCGAGTCGCTCACGCCTGGAATCCCATCACTGTGGGAGGCCGAGGCAGGCGGATCATAAGGTCAAGAGCTTGCAACCATCCTGGCCAACGTGGTGAAACCCTGTCTCTACTAAAAAATACAAAAATTAGCTGAACGGGGTGGTGCGCGGCTGTAGTCCCAGTTACTTGGGAGACTGAGGCAGGAGGATTGCTTGAACCAGGAAGGCTGAGGTTGCAGGGAGCTGAGATAGCACCACTGCACTCCAGCCTGGCAACAGAGAGCGACTCCATCTCAAAAATAAATAAATAAATATAAATAAGCAAAAGGTGGAACATTCTGGGCAGTGACTTGATTTTTCTTGAGTGGCAAGGCCAAAGGGCCACTTGTGCCTGACTGGTGCACACCACTGGGACTCACTAGACACTTGGAAGAGTGGCACAGCCAGACCTCCCGCTAGGTGAGTCCCCGGCTCTCCAACCAGCTCCACCCACTGGCCCCACATCAGCAGTGGGATGAGGTTGGTGGGGAAATCCGGCATGGCTGTGCTCGCTTCACATCCATGCCCGGCCTGAGACAAGGCTGGTATTCACCTCCTCCAAGAAGCCTTTTTTTATTTTTATTTTTTGTGACAGAGTCTTGGTTTGTCGCCAGGTGCCAGGCTGGAGTGCATGGCGTGATCTCGGCTCACTGCAACCTCCACCTCCCGGTTTTAAGCAATTCTTCTGCCTCAGCCTCCCAAGTAGCTGGGACTACAGGCGTGCACCACCACGCCCAGCTAATTTTTGTACTCTTTTACTAGAGACGGGGTTTCACCATGTTGGCCAGGATGGTCTCGACCTCTTGACCTCGTGATCCACCCACCTCAGCCTCCCAAAGTGCTGGGATTACAGGCATGAGCCACCGCACCTGGCTGCCTTTTTTTATTTCAGAGACAGTTTTGCTCTTATTGTCCAGGTTGGAGTACAAGTCTTGGCTCACTGCAACCTTCATCTCCTGGTTCAAGCAATTCTCCTGCCTCAGCCTCTTGAGTAGCTGGATTTACAGGCGCCTACCACCACACCCGGCTCATTTTTGTATCATCAATAGAGACAGGGTTTTACCAGGCTGGCCAGACTGGTCTTGAACTCCTGTCCTCAGGTGATCTTCCCACCTTGGCCTCTCAAAGTGCTGGGATTACAGGCACGAGCACCCAGGAAGCCTTCTATGATTAGTTTACCAGCCTCCTCCCCACCCTCAGACATCCCCTCTAGGTCACTTCGGAGGCGCCTGGGGACCCAGTTCCTACAGTTCCCAGCCTGTGCTGCACCCCATCCTCAGGTCACTGCCTCCCTGCCTGCCTGCCAGGCAGCACCAACACATCTCCCCTGCCAGCCTCTTGCTCTGTGTCTGACACAAACACCATGGGACAAGTTCCCCATCCTCTCCCCAACTCCAGCACTGCTGGGCTCCCCACTTCCCCATGCCTCAGCCCTGCAGCTCTACCTGGTGGGCTCCCCACCCCTCCACACCCCACCCTGCAGCCCCACCTGGTGGGCTCCCCAACTCTCCGCACCTTACCCTGCAGCCCCACCTGGCGGGCTCCCCACCCCTCCGCACCCCACCCTGCAGCCTCACCTGGTGCATCTTGTTCAGACACTCATTTCCCAGTTGCAGCCCTTCCATCACCTTCATTTCAATCTGAGTGAACTCAATACTCTGAACCTGAAAAGGACACCAAGCAGACTCAGGTGCTGAGGATCCTGCGTGCCCTCCTCGCAGCCCAGAGACAGGGTTCAGGATGACACTACTGCTGACCATGTGCTTCTGGGCGTGAGGACGACCCCAGCCCCTGCTCCTCCCTGTCCTCTCCACTGCCAGGTGGGGATGTGCAGGACTGGGAAGGTGCTGGGGAGACACTGCAGAAGGTGCTGGTTACTTGTTAGTAGCTCTCGTTACCAAAGAGAACCACGCTGCTTGGGTCCCTAACACCAGGGACACTCAGTCCCCGACAAAGACCCCTGACCTACCAACACCACCCAGGGGTGGCCCAGCATTTCCAACCTCAATCCTGCAAGAGCCACCCTCCCCCCAGCCCCTTAGGACCATGGGCTTCCTGGCAGACTCCCCTTGGATTCCAGGCCCGCCCCACTGCCGGGTCAGCTTCAGCCTGAGGCATGTGAGGAGGGGCTTTCAGCTATGGGGAGAAGCTCCCAGGTCCACAGGGCCGGGCGAGCTGCCTCCCACTGCACCTGCGCCCCAGGGTGAAGCACCCAGCACCTACCATGGCCTCCAGGCTGCTGATCTGGTTCTCTGTCCTGTCCAGGAGCTGCTCCTGGTATCGCTTCTTCCTGAGCAGCAGCTTAGCCCGTCTGCAGAGGGAAGCCCCAGAGTGACCCGCTGTGGCCCTGCCCAGGCCCCCACCCCAGCCAACAGGTCGCCCATGCTGATGGGCCTGCTCACTCCTTCCTGCCGTCCCGTAGCAGCTGCCGGGCCAGGGCGCGCTCACGCTCCAGCTGCTGGGCGACCCTCTTCTGGTACTGCCTCAGCTTGTCCCGCTGCTGCTTCAGTTGCTGCCAAGAGAGAGCAGGCCTGGTGTTACCCAGCTATACTGCGGGCCCTGGCCATGCCACTGAGTGGAGGCCAGGTGGTCCTCCACGAGTGTCCTTCATGGGGCAGGGTTGTCTCCCAGAGAACAGGTGGAGCTGGCTGGAGACATCTGGGGGGTGGAAGGCAGGGACACTGCTCCACGTTCTGCCACACATGGGACAGCCCCACCAGAGAGTCACCCAGACCCCAGAGCCCACCACGGGGATGGGGAGGTCCACCACGGCATTGCTGTTAGGCCGCTCTGGAGGCTGCCTGCCAACGTTGTGACACTCGGGGCTCAGGCCAGGGAGCAGCTACCAAGAACTCAAAGATTTGGACTCAACAGAGAACACACAGGTGGCGAGCACCCAAGTGCCACCAGCCCACACGGCCAGGTTAGGGCTTGGACACCCCCCAGCTTCTCCCCTTGGGCTTCAGCTGTCCCTTTGCTGGCCACCCACCTGCAGGGACACACACACGGTGACACGCCCTGCAGACCTGCTGACCGTCTCACATCTGGGTGCTGCCCCAGAAAGGGTGCTTGGCCACTGAGGAATGAACTTCAGCTAGTCCTGTCCCATCAGGCCAGTGAGTTTTCCAAATGTCATCACTGCAGACAGTGCTGAGCCCATGTAGGCACAGGGGTCAGAGCCTTAAGGCAGGAGGCGGAGGAGTATTAGCTCAGTCATGACCTGGCCACAGGTTTAACGCTCCTCATGGCAAGTGAGTGCTCCCTCTACCTGAGAGAGCTCATTCCCGGCTCCCTCCATCCAGGAGGCTCCCCTTCCCAGTGCCAAAACTTGTGGGTCCTCTCACTTCTACAGGAAAAGGTGCCCCCTGCCCAGCCCCATTGCTGGGGAGACCCAGGGGCCAAAGGCAGGCAGGTATGGCCAGACTGCCCTGCTGTAAAGTCAGGTCTCAGCGGAGGATCATAGGCAGCATGGAGTCCACCTGTTATCAGGGAAACAGAAAAAAAGCAATCATTTGTGCTACTGTGTGGTAAGGACGCTGTTCCCAAGTGCCCGAAATCCTGGGGGGCCTACGGCAGCCAGGAACACGGGTCTGCACAGCCCAGAGCCCACAGGGACCCTTGGCAAGTGCAAAGCGCTGCTTGAAGAGAAACCGGAGCCGAGTCCTTAGAGAGAGGGAGGGAGCGCCTTGGGGCTGCCAGGGAAGGTGGAGGCTGGGCCCAGCTGTCTTGCAGGCAGCTTGGGCGTGCCCAGAGTGGTGCCCCTCTTCTCTAGGGACAAACGTGACTGTTGTTTCTTTTCATAGCTGATGGGCTCGGATGCCAAGGTAAGATCCCCTCTTCCATTTCCATTCACTTCTCTTTTAGTATAAAACTAACCCATTTCTGTTTCAGAAAACTTAAAAAAGAAAGCATCCGAAAAAGCTAGCCCTGCTCCCATTTCGGGGTCTCTTTCCTGACACGTTTATCTCATACAAAAACGGACTATTCTCAGCCCGCCGTGTCTTTGACGTGCCAGGCGATTCCTCCCACAGCAGCTAACTTTCACAGCGGAGCTGCCGGAGCAGGCACCGGGGTCGGTCTGAAGCCGCCGCAAACAAGCACGCAAAACACGGGGGTCCTGCACCCAGGCGCGGGGGGACCCCGGCGGCCGCTCCTCGGACCAGGGCGGGCTTCCCCGCAGTCCCGGCCGGGGCGGGTGTGAGGGAGAGGGGACGGCCCCGCACCGCAGCGCGAAGCCGGCAGCACCGCGGGGGCTCCGGCCCAGGGCACCGGGGGGCACGGGAGCCGCGACTCCGGGAGAGCCGGGGAAAGCCCAGCGCCGCGGGGACCCCGTACCCGTCGCCAGGCCGTGGCGGCCGAGCCCCGCAGCCACCGGCCGCGCCCACCTCGGCGGGGTCAGCAGCCACCGCGCTGCGCAGGAGATCCCGTCTTGAGGCCCCGCGGGCGAGGAGGAGCGCAGGGCGGAGCGGCCAAGCGGCCGGGCTGCGCGCCGCGCCTCAGTTTCCCCACCCGACCGCGGGGGGCCGAGGCCGCGGAGCGCTTCCCGCCTCCCGCCCGTCCCGGCCCCGGGCCTCACCAGGATGGCCTTGTCCTGCTCCGTGACGCGGCTCTGCTTCTTGCGGCCGAACAGGTTGCCCATGGCGGCGCCGGCCCACGGAGTCCGATCGCCGCCGCCGCCCCGCGGCCACCGTAGCCCAGGCCCTCCCCGCTACGGCGGCCGCGCCGGGCCAGGCAACGCGGAACGCGAAGCCCGAGCTCCTCCCCAGACCGCGCGCCCTTGCCGCGAGTTCGAAACCACAGCCGGGCGGTCTCGGCCTCCTTGGACTCGAACAGAAAAGTGGCACCGCCACCTGGATGTTAGAGCCCGGGATGTTCTAAATGACGTGTTTCCGTGCGCCCTTCCCGTGCAGTCGAAGACGAAACGTTCTTATCTCCTAATTAGAAGGGATCCTTTTAGATTAGATGAGATCCTTTTTGATTAAAGTATTTCGTCTCCCCAGGTTTTCAGGAACCTTGTGCAGGAATCACTGTTCCCGCCGGCTCTGAACACAAAATGCTGCATTTAGTCATGTTATATCCAACGTTCTGCACTGTAAAACAGTGTTCCCTGAAATGCGCCCAGCACCCCCTTCCATCCAGCCGTTCAGCCCGGGGATCTCCCCTCTTCCACGCGCTGCTCTCTGCCTGTGGATCGGGGTGAGGATCAGCTCAGCATGGAGGAGCTCAACTTCTCCTTCGAAGGAATCGTGGCTACGTCCCCCGCAGAAGCGTTCCTCCCTGGAGGGCTAAGAAACAGGCGAGGGGGGAAAGGGGTACAAGGGAGAAGCCACCCCACCTCCAGCCCCCGGTTCCCGCCTTAGTATCCCGGCTGTGGTTTCTGAGCATTCACTGTCACAGAAAAGCACTCAGCTGAGGATGGTTGGAGGCCAGGAGTTCAAGACCAGCCTGGGCAACATAGCAAGACCCTCCCCTCCCCCCCGCCCCGTTCTCTACAAAAATATAACAAATAACATAAAAAGGACAATAATTATAACCTGCGCCAAACCTCTGGCCTCCCCAGAACCTTCCCTGCGCTGAGGGGGCCTCTGAATTTTTGCGGAGGTTTATCTCCCACTCTCTGACTTGTCTCACTAAGACATCAAAAGTATTTTTTTCCTCAGTGTCCATGGGGACGTTGAAAAAAATAAAAAGTACTTGCTACTTCCTGCCCCTCATGAAGGGGGAAGGGAAGTGCTGGGTAGAGAAGGGCGTGGTCCCTGGCTAGGGATCTCCCCTACCGCCCGCCCGGACCCACAAACCTAAGTGAGGACAGGGATTTGTGTTTTCCTGCCCAATTATCGTTTTCCAAAGACCACCCTGGCCTGCCACGCCCCAAACTTGTGCCTATAAAATCCCCAAGGCACTCGCAGGCCGACACAAGTGGCTGGACTTGGAGAGCTACACGTAGGCGGAAGAAGACAAGTGGGCGGGACGGGGAGAGGGCGTGGGGGGGGCGGGGCAGTCGGGCGCCCCAGGAGGCCACTGAAGGCAAAACGAGGTGGAGTTTGCCCCGGGGCAGTCAGGAGAGCCCAGGCTGCTCAGGGATCCGACTCCAGGGGGAAACCTGCCCACTCCATCCTCTTCTGGCTTCCCCTATCTGCTGAGAGCCACTTTTACTCAATAAAACCTTGCACCCCAGCCTGACCAACATGGAGAAACTCCGCCTCTCCTAAAAATACAAAAGTAGGCGGGGAGCAGTAATCCCAGCACTTTGGAAGGCCAAGGCAGGTGGATCATGAGGTCAGGAGTTTGAGACCAGCCTGGGCAACATGGTGAAACTCTGTCTCCACTAAAATACAAAAAATTAGCTAAGTGTGGTAGTGGATGCCTGTAATCCCAGCTACTCTGGAGGAATCTCTTGAACCCAGGAGGCAGAGGTTGCAGTGAGCCGAGAATGGGCCACTGCACTCCAGCCTGGGCGACAGAGTGAGACTCCGTCTAAAAAAAAAAATTAGCCAGGCATAGTGGCACACGCCTGTAATCCCAGCTACTCGGAAGGCTGAGACAGGAGAATTGCTTGAACCCTGGAGGTGGAGGTCGCAGTGAGCCGAGATCACACCATTGCACTCCAGCCTGGGCAACAGAGCGAGATTCCGTCTCAAAAGAAAAAAAGCCTCTTTTTAATAAATGACCCAGTCTTGGGCTTTTTTATTCTTTTTTTTTGTGAGACAGGGCTTCGCTATGTCGCCCAGACTGGAGTGCAGTGGTGTGACCTTGGCTCACTGCAGCCTCAACCTCCTGGGCTCAATCCTCCCAAGTCAGCCTCCTAAGTAGCTAGGATCACAGGCGTGTGCCACTATGCCTGGCTAATTTTTGTGTTTTTTGTAGAGATGGGGGTCTCACCACATTGCCCAGGCTGGTCTTGAACTCCTGAGCTCAAGTGATCCTCCCACTTTGGCCTTCCAAAGTGTTGGCATTACAGGGGTGAGGCCACTGTGCCTGGCCTCAGGTATTTCTTTACTCTTTCCTCCCTCCCTCCCTCCCCCTCCCTCCTTCCTTCTTTCCTTCCTTCCTTTCCCTCCCTCCCTCCCTCCCTCCCTCCCTCCCTCCCTCCCTCCCTCCCTCCTTCCTTCCTTCCTTCCTTCTTCCTTCTTTCCTTCCTTCCACTCTCTCTCTCTTTCTTGACGGAGTTTCATTCCTGTCGCCCAGGCTGGAGTGTAACGACACGATCATACCACTGCACTCCAGCCTGGGTGACAGAGTGAGACTCTGTCTCAACAAAGAACTTGGCATCCATTTGAGACGAGTGTCTTGTCATTCTCGAGACACTTGAGTGTTTCCCTCCCCTGTTCCACACTTAACTTTCGTAAACAGGTGCAGGTGCCTCTGGGGGAGCACTGGAGTGGCTGTGCTGCTGTATTCCTTGTAGGGAGCTCCCTCGAGGGACCTTGCCCCACCTCAAGGGCTCCAGGTCTGTGAATTGGCTCAGCCTGGCAGTTGGTAAGAGGCCGTGGCTGTCCACTGCGGTGACTCAAGTGAGGTTTGGCCACCAGACTCCGAGTTCTGTTATTGTTTCATAAGACAAACGACACTAAAGTCAGCGACCTTTTGTTTCACCCTGGGTGCAGGCTGTGGCACCCTGAGCTCAGTTCCGTGGCCGCAGGAGCACACAGCCTGCGAGGGACTTACTGGTGGTAGCTGCTTCCTGTCCTACTGCGGCCCCGGGATCTATTACCCCACAAAGATCAAGGAGCCCATCTCAGTTGTGCTACCCCCCTTCCCCCGCTGTGGTCACATGTGGCCTTCGAAGGGGGCAGTAGCAGGACTTTTGGGTGCAGGGGCTCCCCTGCCCGCTGTTCCTCGTGTCCAGGAAGGCGGTGCTCGGAGCCTGTGGGGCGTGGCTGGGTGTGGCATGCCGGTCACACTCACTGACTGCTCCTCTCCGTGGACCTTTGGATTCTCTCCTCCACAGGCCATGGAGCGCTGGTGTCCTGGACTTGGGGCCTGCGGGCTTCTGGGTCCGAGCTTCAGCCATCAGGCGAGGGAGCTCTTTAGCTGTGGCTGCGGTGGCAGACTCCAAATCAGGGACTTCAGCCCCCTCTAGCGTCTGATGCAGCGTCCTCCGTCCAACCTCCCGGAATCCACTCCCGCACAGCCTCCCCCGGCTTCCCGCAACCTCAATCTGAAACTTCCCTCAATTATTGTGGCAAGTAAGCCAGGGTTTGCCAGACTACAGCCTGCGGGCCACATCCGCCTGGAATCTGAGGTCTGGGCACTTTCTCCAGTTTCTGCTCTGGTTCCTGTACAGCCTTCCAGTTAGGAGTGGGTTTTACAGTTCTTAAGGATTGTAGCACACACACACATACACACATACACACGCGCACACGTGTACACACACACACACCCCGCAGAAAGGAGGAGGAACGGAGGAGGGAGAAGGAGGAGAAGAGCAAGAGCAAGGTGGCCAGAGCCACACTGCAGCCTCTGCCTCTCGGGTTCAGGTGATTCTCCTCCTGCCTCAGACTCCCAAGTAGCTGGGATTGCAGGAAACTGCCACCATGCCCAGCTGATTTTTTTGTATTTTTAGTAGAGGTGGGGTTTCACTGTTTTGGCCAGGCTGGTCTCGAACTCCTGACATCAGGTGGTCCGTCCGCTCCTGCCTCCCAAAGTGCTGAGATTGCAGGCGGGAGCCACCACATCGGGACACTGTTTGGTCCTTTACAGGAAAAATTTCCCAAGCCCGCATGACCTAGTGTCTTCTGTGTGGCGCTGTCCCGGGTCCCTAAGATCTGATGCTAATTATAGGCCTCATGGCAACCAGAGGTGGCTGAGCTGGCTTGGGGAGGACACGCCACCCCTCTCGAGCATCTCACAGGTGGGCTTGTAGAGGGTTTTCAAACTCAGCAGCCTCAGCCACCACTACTCCCACTGGCAGGGCAGCCTCAGGACGCCCTGGGAGGAGCAGATCGTGAGTCCTGCCAGGTTCTGGGTGCTGCCTGCACTCTGGGTCAGGGCACAGGCTGTCAACGTTCTGCCTCTCAGGTGAGGACGTGGGCAAGGCTGCACACTCAGCGGACACTGTGATTAGGTGACGTGTGGGACTGAAAGCCGTGTTTGATTTTCAGCAGTGTCAGCCCCGCAGGGAGAAGAAACAGGAGCTCCCTGAGGGCTGCCACCGTTGTTCTCTGGAGCCGCTGGAAAGAGTTACTCCCACCAGGCGTCTGATTGCTGTGAATGCCCAGTGCGGGGAGGAGGAACCCCCTGGCCCGAGGTCCTGGGGCGTCCTTTCTGTTCTGCTCTGAAGGGCAGCAGTTTGGGTGCCCAGCACCCACCTCACCCAGCCCTTTGTTTCACTTAACCAGTCGCCACAGTGAATCTGCTGCAAGGCAGGTCCCGGCACCCCGTTTCCCATCGGCAAGAAGCTCAGCCATACATCACACCCTAGGGATAATGAAAACAACCCCTCATGCCCTCCTGGGGCACTCCTCCTGCTAATTCTGTATCATTAGGTTCCAGGCAGGGGACAGAAGCCACACCAGTGATTTGAACAGGAAAATGTAACATCAAGAATCATAAACTAGTAAAGGATGTTTAGCTATTAAAAGGTTACAAAAGAACTCGGAGGAATACAGGAATAGCAGCACCAGAAGTGATGAGTATTTCTAGGACACAGGGGGCATGAGGGAAGAAACCAAGAACCTAGAAGAACATCCCGCCCCGAGGCTGGGCCTGGCTCTGCAGGAGAGGAACCTGCCGGCTGGCCCTGCCCTCGGTGGAGAAAGTTGCCGCAGCATGAGGGTTGAGCCAGTCCAGCCGGGAGCCTGCCAGTTGGCCGAGAAACTCACCGAGGGGTGCGTGCGTATGGGCCAGAGCTTTCCCAACGGGAACTCCCGCCCGGTGCCTGAGAATTTTGCTGGGGAGCGCGACAGACTGGAGGTGTCTGCAAGACGCAGCCCAGGGGTGGCGGAGACTCACAGAGGAGTCCCCCTGGGCCCCAGCAGCTGCACCAAGGGAGGGGCCGGACAGGGAGTTCCCTTCCTCTGCCAGGCCTGGCTGCAACCTCCAGCGCCTTCTCCTGTCAAAGCCTCACACTGCACCGGCCAACAGAGGAGAAATGTTTCAGGGTCCTGCTCTGCCAGCACAAAGCAGGCCCAGGAAGGGTGGATTTGGAGCTGAGGGGTGACAATGGCACACTGCTGAGCCTTTAATTATGGGTGTGACTTCTGAGACCGGGTCCTAAAACATGGCGCAAGGCTGGGCATGGTAGTTCACACCTGCAATCCCAGCACTTTGGGAGGCCAATGTGGGAGGATTGTTTTAGCCCAGGAGTTCAAGACCAGCGTGGGCAAGCCAGCAAGCCCCCATCTCTATTTAAAAAAGACAAAAAACAAAAAGATGGCCGGGCGTGGTGCCATCTGCCTGTAATCCTAGCACTTTAGGAGGCTGAGGCGGGTGGATCATTTGAGGTCAGGAGTTCAAGACCAGCCTGGCCAACCCTGTCTCTACTAAAAATACAAAAATTAGCTGGATGTGGTGGTGGGCATCTGTAGTCCCAGCTACTTGGGAGGCTGAGGCAGGAGAATTGCTTGAGTTTGGGACAAGGAGGTTGCAGTGAGCCGAGATCACTGCATTGCACTCCAGCCTGGACGACAGAGTGAGACTCCATCAGCCTCTCGAGTAGCTGGGACTACAGGTGCGCACCACCACACCCAGATAATTTTTGTATTTTTAATAGAGATGGGATTTCACCATGTTGGCCAGGATGGTCTCTATCGCTTGACCTCATGATCTGCCCGCCTTGGCCTCCCAAAGTGTTACGATTA